TGTAAGAAGTGGCTCGGACACTGCAAAGACCCTCCAAGCATTATTACCATGAACCATATTTTGGAAAAACAGTATGAAGTATTGACACTGGAAAAAGCAAAACTGCAATTAGAAATACAGAAACTGGAACTGGAGAAAACTAAGCTGAAGTTGGAGCTACAAAACCTTGGACATGAACTATAGATCTCATTGACCACTGTCCAAGATTGAATTAATCAATTCATTGTCATTTCAAATTTTCCTGTTGACTTTACTTGTTTAATGTAGTTACATTAATGTTTACTATCTAAAATTCATTTAGCTTGCATATGTTATTTGAAGAATTAAATACTAGTTTTTCAGTTGTTTTTACACATATTCTGCATCACATTTTCTTATCCATTGATTTGATAAATAAATCGTATTTTGTATCAAGTACATATCAAAATAGTCATTCTTTCAGTTTTCTCAGTAAATAAGCAAAGGTTTTCTACAATCAGTTGTTGAATATAACGCCCAGGGCTGCGTTTCCCAAAAGCATCATAAGCCTAAATTGATTACAGAGAAAATTGGTGGCAATGGTTTCTACAATCTATTTACACTTACAATGCTTTTGGGAAACAACGACCAGATTTATCTTCATCTTTAGACTCCACAGCTGGTTCTGCAAGCACTTGATCTTCCTCCATGTTTGGGAGTGCAAGATCTTAATTAAAAGGAAAATTATCTTTAGCTCTGTGGGAAATGGAGGCAGGAGTTTAAATTACAGTTACATTGTGTTTATTACGTTGCCATGTTGTGTAAAACAGTGCATGCGCATATTATGCTCTTTTATTTCAAAAAATAACATGATTTTTTAAATATAATTTTCATTTTTCATGGCAGGATAGAATTATATAACAAATTTTTAAAAATCAAGTGACAAGTTTTTTTCTAATTTTATGACAGCGTTCATGTTACTTGATTTATATATGTGAAGGTGAGAATGAAAAGAGAACTGCTGTTGATATTTCTGCACTCTCAGCTCACTCAGTCTTGGGCTTTTATTAAACCCATCTATCAAGTTTTCAGATAATCACACACTACTTGAGACTGTTAGCAATAATGTGGCAATAATGTGCTTGATGGCATGCCCATGATCCTTTGAGACCTGAACCCAGCTCAGATTCACTTCACAAATCTGTGTGTGTGTGCTTTCAGTTCAGTGTAATAAAGTGCAGTGAGGCTGTCCGTTTATAATTCATCTTCATCGCCCTGCCACACAGGGCACAAAGGTCACACGGGTCACTACATCTGTGGCCAAACATGAAAGACTAATATTAACTTCCTATGGTGAGAAGAGAGCAAATCTGACTCTCTTTCTTTCTCACACATACACACTTAGACAGACATAGATATTTACTAAACCTAAACCTTCTGACAGTATCAGATTCATCAAAGCATGATTTATGGGTCTGTCAGATATTACTTCAAAAACATGACACTACTCACAGTATATTTGTGTGTGTGTGTGTGTGTGTGTGTGTGTGTGTGTGTGTGTGTGTGTGTGTGTGTGCCTGAACCCAGCTCAGATTCACTTCACAAATCTGTGTGTGTGTGCTTTCAGTTCAGTGTAATAAAGTGCAGTGAGGCTGTCCGTTTATAATTCATCTTCATCCCCCTGCCACACAGGGCAGAAGGGTCACACGGGTCACTACATCTGTGGCCAAACATGAAAGACTAATATTAACTTCCTATGGTGAGAAGAGAGCAAATCTGACTCTCTTTCTTTCTCACACATACACACTTAGACAGACATAGATATTTACTAAACCTAAACCTTCTGACAGTATCAGATTCATCAAAGCATGATTTATGGGTCTGTCAGATATTACTTCAAAAACATGACACTACTCACAGTATATTTGTGTGTGTGTGTGTGTGTGTGTGTGTGTGTGTGTAGGTGAGTGTATGTCTCCTTTAGGGATGGAAAGTGGTGAGATCACAGAAGACAGGATATCTGCATCATCACAGTATAATCCCAGCTGGTCTCCGCTGCGCTCCAGACTGAATTTCCCTGACAACGGCTGGACGCCGTCAGAGGATTCTGCTCGGGAGTGGATACAGGTACAAACACATACATATTCTCTCATTTTATTGGGAAAGACTTACCAGACAAGACATGACCTATACACTTGTAAAGTCACACATACATACATACTCAGATGTATAGACAAAATATTTAAAAATAACTGAAGTTGTATAAGAGGGTAATATGAGTAGTGGGTACTTGTGTTTGGCCTTAAAGAGTTTATTTCACATTTGTACATTGTGATTGCACATTGAAAATGATAGTACACCCCTGCTGTTTATTTTGGGCTTTGTATTGGACAGTACACTGTTGTATCACGAAATTATAAAAGAGAGATGGAGCGATGGGATAGAACATCACAGGTCAGACTCGAACTTCCATGTCCACGCAATGTACAAATTGGATATTAAATCAAAGTCAATATTCAATATTGATCTAAATTAATTATTATATAAAAACTGAATATATATATATACAGTACTGTTCAAAAGTTTGGCATTGGTATGATTTGTGATGGTATGATTTTAAAATTTGTATTACAATTTAAAATGACTGTTTTCTATTTTAATATATTTTAAAATGTAATTTATTCCTGTGATGGCAAAGCTGAATTTCCAGCATCATTACTCCAGTCTTCAGTGTTACATGATTCTTCAGAAATCTTTCTAATATGCAGATTTGCTGCTCAAGAAACACTTCTTATTTATTATCAATGTTGAAAACAGTATTTTTATGGAAACCGTGATACATTTTTTTCTGTTATTTGCTGAATGTTCAAAAGAACAGCATTTATTTGAAATAGAAACATCTTTATTGTAACTTTTGATCCATTTAATGTGTCCTTGCTGAATAATACGTTTTAGTAGTAATTTCTTTCTAAACTAATTCTTACTGACCTGGCATAAATAATAAAAATGTATACAATTATATTTATAAAATAATAAAAGTTTGTTGACATTTATGGGATAGATGTCAAATCTGCTATACCACTTTAGTCAGACACAGTCACTCATAAATACACAAAAGGAAAGGGTTTTCCTGGCTCTTTGTTTCTACAAAGAATTTGACTGGCATGTTGTAATTCTCACAGCAGTACATGCAGGAAGGGTTTCCTCTCTGAAAGAGGACATTTATGGAGCAACTGTAGACAGTGCTTGCGCTGACAGTAGGCCAGCGTTTCTGACGATCCAAGAAAACAGACACACATCTGGACAACACATTTCATTCTGACACAGACAGAGAGAGAGAAAGAGGGCATTCCTTCAAATCTGATCTTGAGGTTCTAGCACTGATTTCTTTTTAGCAGCAGGAGTGAGTTGAACTAGTGAACTAGTGAAAGGTCACTGCTTTCCTCTGAGGTTGAGTGTAAGATTTTAACCATTAAGGATATGGAGTTATATGTCTGATATTTAAAACTATAATGAAGTCTACAGAAACTTAAATCCCTAAAATCTACAGTAATATGCAAATATAAAGTACATTTGTATGTCAGATGTTAAGGATGTAAGTTTTTATGCAGAATGTAATCTGGATGTAATTCCATTTATTGAAAATTTTCTGCTCATCCAGGTGGCTTCATCACTAGTACAATGGTGGAGATTTGAGTGGAAACTCACTGTTTACTTCATAGCAACACATAACTTTGTATAAATGTACACTTCAAATGTTTGAGGTTGGTAAGATTTTTCAAGATCAAAAATGCAGTAAAAATAGTAATATTGTGAAATATTATTACAATTTAAAATAACTGTTTTCTATTTTAATATATTTTAAAGTGTAATTTATTCCTGTGATGCAAAGCTGCATTTTCAGCATCATTACTCCAGTCTTCAGTGTCATATGATCCTTCAGAAATCATTCCAATATGCCGATTTGGTGCTCAAGAAACAATTCTTATTATTATTATCAATGCTGAAAACAGTTGTGCTGCATAATATTCTTGTGGAAACCATAATACATTTATTCAGGATTCTTTGATGAATAGAAAGTTCCAAAGAACAGCATTTATTTCAAATCAATATCGTTTGTAACATTACAAATTCCTTTACTGTCAATTTTGATCAATTTAATGTTGAATCAAAGTATAGATTTTCTTAACATCTTACTGATACTAGCACATATAATGAATATAAACTACATTTATAGTACATTTTAATACCTTATGGTAGACTTTCATTGTAAGGAAAGGAATGAATGAATGAAATGGCTGAATTTTAATGTTTGGGTAAACTATACTTTTAACCTTACTCAGCCAGGTCTCAAAAGAATGGTGAATTGTTGGTGGAGTCATTGCCCTTTTGGTGAGAAGCAGAACCAATGTGTAAATTGAGGCAAACTATCTGGCAAGCAATGTCGAAACTTTTAGAGATGGCTGCTCCATTTTCACTTAGATGGCCTCCTTCTTTCCTTTCTCAAACCATCTGTCTTCCCTGTCCAAATTCTTCATATTCCTGCCTTTGAACAAGTGATCCATGTCCCGGGGCACTTTTGAATCACACTATGTCTTGTCTTTTGGCCTCAGTCTGGAGACTATCCCAAGAAAGCAAAGCGACATGAGGGTCAGTAGAGTACCATCTTCCTCTTTCCTTATGCCTCTTCCCTTTCCTGCTTAGATTCTCTATTTCTCTCTCTCTCACACACCCACCAATATCCTGTTTTCTACAAAAAGTGTCCATGTTTGCCTTTAGATCCTGGCATTTGAGGGGCTCTGCTTCTGTCCTGCCATTGTTCCCTCGTTTAAGGTTGTTAACACTTGTCGATCTTGTTAGCGGTGGCTGGCTCAAGTTGGCAGCTCGGCCGCTTCTGAAACGGCACAATATTGAAAAGCAATTAGCCTCATAATACCTTCCTGTTCAGAGAGAGAGAGAGAGAAAGAGAAAGAGAGAGAGAGAGAGAAAGGGACGGCAGCAGTGTGCTTTTGGTGCATCTGCTCACTGAGACTTGGGTGGAAACCAGTGGGAGAAAGATGTGAACTTTTGTGCCAGGAATGCTTGCATTGAGCCAAACGCTCTCAATAGGCTATTTATGCACACTTCTGTTGCGTCAGTTGAGTTTATTTTATCTCAAGAGTCACGCACACACTCGAGAGACAGACAGTAACTGACATGCTAGATTTAATGCAGGAATTGCTCCATGACAGCATGATTTGTCATTCTGCCCTGGATCTTTGAGCACGTTTTAGTTTGATGTGGTCATTGTTACTATAAGGTTATTGGAGGTCTCTAGACCCTTAGAACAGACTTCTTGTAATACTTGAGGAGGGAAGGAAATGAAGATTCTCGGAACCCGAAACGCAATATAAGACCATGATAGATGATGCTTTGAAAATTCTGAGGGTGTGTTTTTCAGCTTCATTGGCCAGTTATTGTTGTAAGTGATTCAGATTACGACAGAGTGTCAATATAGACATAAATGCCAAAGGTTATGTTTCACACACAAGATTAGAAATACCACTTTAGTCATACAGTGGCTAGTATTACCTGACCTAAACTTTTTGTAATAAAATAAAATGAGATTAAGTAATGAAGTGGTTAATATGAACAAGTGGCTGCCAAGTCTGGTTAAACTGTATACATTTGATAATTGTGTTAATTTGTTCAAGGTGTAAAGCTGAAGTCATAGTTTCACAGTGGGAAGCTCGTTTTTTATTATTGGTTCATATTTTTCTTCCAGCAATTTATTGGCTGTAATTAAACCATATTCATAGCTTGTGCTGTGTTCTGCTTAGTGTGTGTGTGGAATCTGACTCAACATGATTTTCCGAAGTAGCACATGTTCCTGGGTCAAAATTCATTGGTTCGTACTAGAACAACATTTCTATCTATTATAGCTTTAACCCTAAACATACCCTCCAAAAGCAGAGAGAATCCCAGTCTTAAACCTAAAATGCTGCTCAGTTGGGATTTTAGGAATGTTCTTCCATGAGGAACAAGGACGTTAATCCAGGAACATGTTTTACTGTGGTAAATGATGTTAAGCTTTTAGCCCCCTTGTCCAGACACTGCACTGCACTGCTGCTATGCAGTGAACACATCATGGATCATTCTAACGATCTGACAGTGAATCAGCGCAGTGTGATTAACTAGCAGTTACATGACAACTGCCCCAACACACAAAGTGAACAGTCACCAGAGAGTAACAGCCCTTTTTTTACAGTCTCTGTCTGTCTCTCGCAGGTGGACTTGGGTTTCCTGCGGTATGTGACGGCCATAGGAACACAAGGTGCCATTTCAAAGGAAACAAAAAAAGCTTACTACGTCAAAACATACAAGATCAGTGTGAGCTCAAATGGAGAGGACTGGATTACCCTGAAAGACAAAACCAAACAGATGGTGAGTATTTATTTTTTTTATTTTTTTTTATTGTAATATTAATATAGTGTATTTTGAATGTCTTTGATTTTATTTTTTTTTAATTTTATATACACATGTTCAAAATGTTGTTGTCAATCTTTTAATACTTTTAATTCGGCAAGAATGCATTAAATTGATTAAAATTGAAGTACAGACATTATAATGTGACAAGATTTTATTTCAGATAAATCTGAATTAATATAAAAATGGTTTGCACAAAAATATTACATGGCACAACTGATTTCAACATCAATAATAAGAAGAATAAGTTTCTTGAAAATCAAATCAGCATATTAGAATGATTTCGGAAGAATCATGTGACACTGAAGACTGGCTGTTAAAAACATTACAAATTACACTTTAAGATATATTAAAATAGAAAACAGTTATTTTAAATAAATGCAGCTTTCTTGAGCATAGGATAATTCTTATTCTTTTTTGTTTTTGATAACATTTTCATATATATTTTTTTTGTATTTTGTTTTATAGTTTTTAATTATTTTATATGTATTGTTATCACTTTTATTACTATTACTTAAATTTTTCTGTCTTTGTTTTATTTGTGTAGATGGTTTGGCAATTGTGTATAAAACAGTCATGCCAATAAAAATGTTGAAGTTGAACATTGTAAAGGAACAGGAGAGGAAAAAAGTGTTACATGTGTCATCTCTCTTTTTCTCAGGTGTTTGATGGAAATCAAAATCCCACAGATGAGGTACGTGCCAGGCTGCCCAAACCCACCCTCACCCGTTATCTACGGATACGACCTCAGACCTGGGAACAGGGCATCTGCATGCGTTTCGAGGTGTACGGATGTAAAATATCAGGTATCTCATCACACACACACTTACAGCAGAGGGCTTTTGTGGTGAGATTCAGCCATGAAGTCACTATGAAATCCCAGCAGGTGTTGCAGTCACTCTCAATTCCCCCAGATTCGCTCACTCTGTGTGTGATCATTAGAGAATGACTCCCCTCTCTATTCACTGACACCTAATACTGACATCAAGAGGTCCCATCTGCATGTGTGTGTGTTTATTTTAATAAATTCTCACCATTTATGATAGGTAGAAGTAGCCTGTATGTCTGTTTCCTGTGGCTCAGAATATTGGTGCTCCTTTCATTAGAATAGCTCACATTCTCTCTTCTTCTCTCAGATGCTCCATGCTCCAGTATGCTAGGGATGGTTTCAGGTCAGATTTCGGACTCTCAGATCACAGTGTGGCCATCGGCAGAGAGGGGCTGGCTCCCAGAACAGGCCCGGCTCCTAACCGGCCGAACGGGCTGGGTGGTCGCTCACCCGCAGAATCTCGGGAAGAACCAGTCACTGGAGCTGGATCTAGGGGCCCAGCGGATGGTAACGGGTCTCATCCTGCAGGGAGGGAAATACAGAGATGTAAATATTTTCATCAAACGCTTCAGAGTTACATATAGCACGAATGGAACGGACTGGAGCCACATACTAGAGAAGAACAGCAACAAAGTGAAGGTACTGCATGTGTAAAAAAGCCAGAGAATGATAACTATAACGATATTAACACCCACATCAATGGACGATAACATTCTGTTTATTACAACCACTCACTGCATTTATGTTGTACCCAACTTTAAATGCTCAAGCTCTTTAAAGTCTAGTGGATTCTGATTGACTGTCAATGTTTTTACCGTTCATCAGCTGGAAAAAATTGTTCTGAAAGTGATTCCAACGATATTGTTTTTCTATCATTAACGTTATTGCTGAGATCTGGACTTCCCTATTCTTGTAGAATTGGAATGATTAGTAAAATGCTGTAATTGATATAGTTATTGTTATAGTTAAGGGTCGTTCACACCAAGGATGATAATGAAAACCATAACAATAAAGTTTTAATATTTGTTCTAATTCGACAAGAAGAGGGAAATCCAGACAGCTATAACAATAATGACACAGAAAAATTGTATCACTGGAATCACTTTCAGAACAAATTTTTCCAGCTTATGAACAATAAAAACATTGAGAGCCTGTCAGAATCCACCTGACTTTAAAGAGCTCGAGCTTTTAAAAGCAGCGGGAGAACATGCCTGCATTGCATATTTAACATTATCGTCTATTTGTGTGGACACTAATAATAGTAAACATTATAGATATCTTCATAGTTATTATTCTTGGTGTGTATGAAATGCAGTTTTTTTCATGTGTTTAAGCAGACAGACACAAAATGTTCTAAAAAATCATATTTTTTCACCCATTCAGGTGTTTATGGGTAATCAGAACCATGACACACCAGAAGTATGTACTTTTGATCCAGTGCTGATGCGTTTCCTGCGTATCTACCCTGAGCGTGGCTCTCTTGAAGGCATTGGGTTAAGGCTGGAGGTTTTAGGGTGTGAACTGCAAGGTGAGTGACAACCAAACCAACCAATCACAGAGCTCAGAGGAATCTCATCCTCAGGCTGTCTATTCCAAATTAACAAGATTGTTTAAATGGTGTATAATTTGTGAAAGCTTCCTTTACCTTAAATAACTTTTATTAATCTCTTTTCAGAGTCCACAACGCCTCTTCCCCTCACCACCACCATGGAAACTACAGTAGCTACCGTCACTAGCGCTCCAGGGAATATTCCAATAACCACCACTATTCCAATGACAGTGGAGAGTTGCGATGATGATGGCAACTGCCATAGTGAAGCAATGACAGACTATGACACAACAGGTTAGATACACACACATACATTCACATGTTGTTATATCATTAACATCTATGAGCTAATTATGTTGGCTAAACCATAACACTATCTCAGCTCCTTAGAGAAACCTTATTGTATTTTTAGATTTTAATTAAGACATTATTTACTCTCTTTATTATGATGTTTTCATAATAGGGACTGTTGGGAGGTCCCAATAATGTTGGTAATTTCAGGTTTTACTATCTCTGTGGGACATTTAAGTCCCCACAAGGAAAGCGAAACCTCATATACACAAACATCCACACAGAGATGGACTATGACCCAAAAGGTTACAAATACAAACACCCACAAAGCGAAATACAGACCAACTACGACCCAGCAGGTTACGTACACTTAGCAAAACAGCAACATGCTACGACCCATAGGTTACACACAAACAACGACATAGACTTGATCTATCAGATTACACAAACACAAATACACGTTTATCATTTCAAACACACTGCAGAATGAAGACAATGAGCCTCGTTCACTAATAATTGTGTGGATTGTTTCGTATTTATACGCACAGGGGAGCTTCTCACAAAAAAATTTCCAGCTAATTCACAGCACGTGCGTATGCACATGATTTGTTCATTCTAAGTGTTAATTCTAAATGAACAGCCATATGTCCCAGGTTTGTCATTTGCATAAAAAAACACCTAAATCATCTCCATATAAGGGCTTTCCACATAACTTTTCTCAGCCTTTTGTCACTCTCTGCAAACATAATACGCTCTCTAGAGATGCATTCTCACCTGAGAGACATGCAGCAAGATCCTCAAGCAAAGCCAAGCGTGCCATCCTTAAAACCATTTCAAACACAATAAACCCCTTTAAAACAGACCCACATTACAGAGCTCTCTTTAGCCAGCTACACAAATGCGTATCTGTGTTGTTATACAGAGAAACCTCAGAGCTCAAGCTGTAATGCAGCTTCTCACTGTATATGATGAAATATGTTTAAGATGAAATGTCTATATATAAGATTTCATCTTAACATGATTATAAGGCCATCCACAGCACGTTATTTTTGCGTGTGGTTTCAGTTGTTCCTACATTTAGTGAATGACAGAGTGACTCAACATGAACCACAAACATACATAAACATACAGAACATGCGAATGGAATTTAACTAGTCTGTATTTCATTAACTCTTTAGCTTTGACTTTAATAGGACTTTCTGCATTTTGATTCCCATAGAAACTGCAGTTGCAGAGCCATTTCTGGAATTGGAAGCAGTACCTGGTGAGAAACTACATGCACACAAAGTAGACAATTGATGGCAATAACAATTTGGAGTGTTGCTGGTGTTGTAAAAAACTGGTCCAGCCTCGTTGAGGGTATTCTCTTTAGTGGCTGATTATAATTCCTACAAAATCACATTATGATATGATCGGGGATCATACGGATACTTGATTAGCCTGACAGAAATTAGGAACATAATCCTCAATCTCTCTCTTTGGGGTGTTCCATATTGAGCACAAAGAAAATCTCTACTGCCACCAAGTGTTATACTGCATAATTACATGATATAATCTCCTGCTGCTGAACTTTGTAAAAGCCTTACTCAAAGATTCAAACACTGCAGATAGTCTGTTACTTCTGACTGTCACCTTCATGATGTCTAATGACACTTTGTAACTTGCAAAACAGCATAAATTCATGCATAACAAGGAAATTCCTCCTTAAAAAAAAACACTTAAAACATCGACACCACAGAAACACGTCAGTTGTGAAAAGATCATGGCTTCTAAAAACTGCCTTTCTCTATAAGATCATGAGGTTTACTTTATTTTTTTAAGCATAACCTTATAACAATAGATTTTGTTTTACAGATTTATACTTAGAACAAGAAAAAAAATTGCTAATGAGAAAAATATTCATGAGAAAAATATTTAATTCAATTCTCAGTTCAAGATATATTTTCTGAAATCTCTGAATTTTGCTTCTCAGTTAAATGTGTCTTGTTTTAAGGATGCTTAGATGTTTATGCAACAACAACACAGAAACACATTGGATGTGAAAAGCTCCTAAAAACTACCTAGATCATGAGATTTACTGGAGTCATTTAAGCATAACCTTATAACAATAGATTTTGTTTTACAGATTTATACTTAGAACAAGAAAAAAAATTGCTAATGAGAAAAATATTCATGAGAAAAATTCTCAGTTCAAGATATATTTTCTGAAATCTCTGAATTTTGCTTCTCAGTTGTTTTAAGGATGCTTAGCTGTTTATAACACCACAGAAACACATTGGATGTAAAAAGTTCACAGTTCCTAAAAACTACCTAGATCATGAGATTTACTGGAGTCATGGGAGAATGTGATATCTAGATACAGTACTGTGCAATTGGCCACTGGTTATTGGTGATTTAGCAGATTTCGCTGCAGTAACTATTGGCGGATACAGGCTTGCTCAATGCACTTCACTCCCCTTTGGGGTTTAAACCTTCAACCTTTTGAACACCTGCCCAGAGCTTTGACTAATAAGCTACCGGCAGTCCAAGAAGCATAGAGGGTGTTCAGTACCATACTGTAGCTTAATTGAACATCTTTAGTGGGGTTGAATAGAAGTTGAAGTAGCGTTGTTTGTGTTCCTGTTTAGCATACATCTGGTTTGCCTGTGACTTTGGCTGGGCTGATAACCCCTCGTACTGTGGATGGAGCCAAGATGGAGGTGAAGGAGCCGAATGGCATATAAATAACAACAGCAAATACGCTGATCACAAACTGCCTAATCTGGACCACACAGGTACGAATAATTGACTTGTCCATCACACTAAAATGCAATATAGATTAATAAATTCCTAAATGCACTTTTAATATGTCAGAACTAATTTTAGGTTAAAGAATATTGAGATAAAATGATTGCAGGAAGAGGAAGTAATTTAAGAAACAGATGCATTTATGCGTTCACAACCTGATGGCTCCTCTCTTCTGTTTCAGGGATGCCTCACAACTTCATTTACGCAGGTTCTAACACAAACACACAGATAGAGATCGAGAGAAAAACTGAAACAGAGACAGATGAAGAACTGTCGAGAAAAGGAAGAGTGGCGAGGCTGGCCAGTTTGCCGGTCACGGCCCCAAATTCAAACCTGTGCATGTCATTCTGGTACCATTTCACTGAGAAACACAAAGGAACTCTGAACATCAAGCAGAAGATAGAGCCATTAGAGGTGGAGGAGGAGAGAGAGGATGATGAGGTTCTGATCCGCTCTGTGAACGGCCAGATGAAAAGCAGATGGAGGGAAGGAAGAGTTCTGATTCCCAGTGCCGACACTCCTTATCAGGTACTGATGCCCACTTTATGGACAGAACATCCTGATTACAACATGATACTAACTCTTTTTCTGTGTGTGCATGGTAGGTGATCATTGAGGCTCAAGTGAATCCTACAGAATCTGGTTACATCTCACTGGATGATATAAAGATACTGGATGAAGTGGATCCTGAAGAGTGCAAGGGTATGTTTAGCCACACCCCATTCAATTAAGCCCCTCCTCTTTTCTATTTGGCCAGCGCTACTTTTATTGGCAGATTCTCTCACCAGTCAGTAACCTTCATTAATATGCCTCTGGGGTATTTTGCACATCACCTGCATCCCTTATATTAATAACTGCATGATAATAATAGTCCTACCACAATAATCAAGCACAACAGTGACCACCCACTTTTCAGTGATCTTAAAGAGATAGTCTATCCAAAAACAAAAGCTGTTGTTCCAAACCTCTGTGCATTTCTTTCTTCTGTGGAAGAAGATATTTTGAAGAATTTCATCTCCTTGTTTGATTGTGTGTTTATGTTTTAGACCCAGATAATACAGAAGGTGATGAAGATGAAGTTGATGAGATTGGTAAGACCCACATTTTTATTGGGAAAGCATTACAATAAGACCCAATTTAATGATTTATTGCATGGCTCTCTATACTTAAAAAATATATTTTCTTAATCAGTATTTGTTAAAATACACTGAAAAAAATTGGTGTAGAAAAATTTTTATTCAGGAAATGCTAGTAAATTTCACAAACAGAAGTGGCAAGTAACACAATTAAACGGGACATTTTTAAGTAGAAAAATTTAAATAGTATTTCCTTGTAAAACATACTCCAATAATAGGTTTTATTTGCAACTTCGAAAAATAAAATTTTACAGTGTACATTTACTTGACAAGCAAACTTGTATAAGATGTGAAGCCCAATGGCAAAGTTGTTCTTAAATACTTTGTCACTAAATGTCAATAAAATGATTAAAGGTCACAAAAATATGTTTTACAGATATACATTTAAAACAAGAAAAAATACTAATGGAATAAGAACAATATTTAATTCAATACTACATGTATTTATTTATTTATTTATATTCCTTCTCAATTAAATTTATTTTGTTTTAAGGATGCTTAGATATTTTTACTGGAAAAAGGACACAAATAATCATTGAACAAGGTTTTTTTTGTTGTTTTTTTGCTAAACTATATAATTACAGTCGAACTTATATCACCCTGTTGAGATTTATTTTTGCCATAATGACCAGCTGACCGTGTATATTCTCTTATATAATGTAATTGAGCTTGTTTATGCAGGTCTTAAAATATCTCTGTTTCTGTCTCTTGTCTCTCTCAATAGTGAACTGTGAGGGGGCTGACAACACCTTGTGGAGTTTTGGACGCGGCTCCATGCTGAAGAGTTTAGACCCCATCCTGATCACCATCATCGTGATGAGCGCTGTGGGAGTCCTGCTGGGTGCCGTGTGCGGGGTGCTGTTCTACTGCGCGTGCGCTCACACTACAAACAGGAACCTCTCCGCTCTGGAGAACTACAACTTTGAGCTGGTGGATGGAGTAAAACTTAAGAAAGAAAAACTCGGTGCACATAAATCTTACACAGAGGCATAAGGAATGCTGGATGAACCCAGGAAACATTTGCGGGACAATGTTGGAGGAACGTTCTTAGAACGTTTTTTTTTTTGACGTTTCTCAAGGCGGAGACTGAGGTTATTCTCAGGATGTGAAGGAAGAGGGACTGGCCTCTAGAGGACGCTGTGTATAGATTGTACAGCCAGACGATGATTGTCTACTTGTTTGTTTGTTCGTTTGTACATTTGTTGCTGGTGATGAGACCAAGACAAAATGATGTATCCTCTCACAAAGTTGGATTTTTTTTTTCTACAAGCCCCCTTTGCAGAGCTGTACACAACTGGGTTTTCAGTGTTATTGTGCTCATTTATGCTTGGAGACGTGTTTGTTCAGTTGGTAACTCACTCTTCATTCCAATGGTGCCTTTAAACGTGTGTTTGTTGCCTTTTTACACATGGGTTCCTCCTTACACAGACAGTCATTTGCTCTTGAGCACAAACCGTTCACAGATACAGGCCAATACAGGTCAGAGGTCAGTATTGCATCTAATATATCTCAACAGAACATACGCACGACGTCTATGTCAATGTTAAGTATCTAGATTCGGTTAAGTATCTAGATTAGGTATCGCTTTTATTAGGTTCATCTTCACACTATATATATTGTAAAACAGCAGTTCATATGACATTCCTTGAGTCAGTGTTTTTTTAAACAAAGGAATATTAATGTGGAAATCTTCTTTCAGCTGCCCATGTGACATGTCTGTAAACGTGTTGCCATGGTATCGAGTGACATCATGTTTCAGAATGGCATCATAGTGTCTGCAGACCATCTGTGAAAATAGTGTCTTCTAGACTGGACCCCTCCTGATCAGGAGACGCTGGGGAGAAGCTCACTCTGGGAACGTCTGGGAATGGAAGCGGAGACAAAGCAAATGAAGCATCTAAGAGCGCTAATGTTGGAGCATCTCCCCAAGGAAATTAATTATATTTGAAGGATGTAAAAGGCAAAAACTGATCCATGCTCTTAAGCATTGACAGGACAATTTAAGAAAGATGAGGCGACAAGTGCTGACAAAGGCATCTGGGTCTATTTCACACACAGCAGGAAAGCAGTTTGTTTTCAGCAGCTTGAAGGAGACACCAGAAACTTTTCTCCCACTCAAATGAACCAACGTGTCATTTTGCACTGAGAATTATATTTAATGAAAGATTTAGATAGTAATAAAAGTGTTAAGTACTTTAAATGGTAAGAGAAATTCAACTGTCAGTGTAACAGCTCACTTTTTTTATGTTATTTAAAATGAAATGGTATTTTTCGTAATTGTAATAGTTGTTTTTGTGTTCTGAGGAACTGAAGTGACACTGAACTGGCTTTTCATCACAGACTCTCACAAAAAAACTAAATTTCACTTGATGTTATGAAGTCTGATCTGTCTGGTAGCTGTTTTGTATTCACAGTTCTGTGATGAACAGAAAAAAATGAAGACTTGTCTCTCAGCATCTGACCAATTGGATTTATGAATTTCTCAACAACAACAACAACATTCCAAAGAGCGAAGTTAATAAAGTTTTTATAAAGATTTTGTTTGAAATAACTATCTTTATATAAAGTGTTGTTTGAGTATAAAGAGTTTATTTAATTGCATATTTATTTGTTTTCTAATTTCACTTAATGAACATGAATAAGAGCTTAAAGCGACCTTGAAAGAACAGTTTCAAAATCATTGATGGTACACTGAGTTAATGAGGCCTTGAAATGAATGCCTTTTGTTTCTTTCCCATGCTCTTTCAGACTCGCTGTCATGCAGTGTCCGTTTCTCTGCGACTAGATGGTGCTGCTCTATAAGGTCATCGCGACTGCTGTTTTATCTCTCCATTCCCGAAGCTGAACGTTGCTTTCCCAAATCCGAGTTAAATCAAAATAACGTTTTATACAATTAAACTAATGAATGAACTCATACCCTTTGGTTAAAATCGTCAAGTTAATTGTATCGCTAATAGGGAAGTTAGGCAGAACACGTATTGTTTTGAGCTGCAATGGTGAAGTTCGTTGTGGTGTCAAGGTAACACTGTTCACTAAACGCGAGCGAGCGTGGTGCGGTTTCACATCCAAACTTCAACACTTCTGCCTATCGACCACTGAGTTTCGTACTGTGTGTGTTTGCATTAGTTCATCAGTGAGAATATGTCACCGCCGTGCCACTTCCTCAAAGATGTTGCAACCGATAAACCAGTAACCACACTGGCAGCACTCGTGCTGGGAGGATATTAATTTTCCCTGTCGCTTATGTGATGCATTTTAAGCTCTTTCTGAATGTATATGTGCTTAAAGAATTAGTAAACAGTCCGCTATGATCAGCTACACAGGGTGAGCGCTGGGATGATCTCAATCCAGTTAACCTTCATCATGGTCCGTCTGTAAACACTGACTCATATGGCTGACATATTTCTTTCCACAAACAGTCAAACGCTATCCATAGACTGATTGTCATCTCCTCTTCTCCTCTGCAACACTTCTTTTCCCAAAACTTTCTGGAGGCCAAAAATTGTTCAAATATCTTATTCAGCTTATATTTATAGTTTTTCCTGCTTAATATGGTCGTATATCATCTACAATGTCTTGATTGTAGATAAAGCTAGTCAACTAGCTCTAGGTTTCACAAATAATTATTTGTTTACTGTTGTATAAATCCAGTTCACTTATTTTGTTTATAGTTAGAGTGAGAGAGAGAGAGCATTTTCTAATCATATTTGAATTTCACACACAGAACAGTAATGTAAAGTTTCCCTAAAAACAGGAAATGCATTAAAGTACATATTTTCACACCTTCAGGCTCTGTTTGCTTGCAAAGCAGGTGGTGTTTCCCACAGATCCCTTATCATGACAGTTTCAGGGTTATTTTAGGGTATCTGGCCTTTGTTGCATTAACTGTTTTCCCCGGTTTTCTCATTGTTCAGCTCAATGCAACTGGCTCAGTCATGAATAATAATTCAACTAGTTGCTCATCATGGCTAGGAAAGTCATCTTGACTGCCATAAACTTGACGTTTCCTCAAGAGTATGAGTTCTTATCACTGTTTAGACTATAGTCGAGGTGTGTAATTATGTCTAATCACATTCGGTCTTAAATGGGACACACCGGAAACTGTCCAGACTCGCTTGCTCTGGCTAATCCTCGACCAGCAGTAAAACCATGCTGAACTGGATTTTTTCATAAAAGTAAACAAAAGAGCTCTCTGTCCGTGAAACCTTGAGCCTAGCTGTATCTAAATCAAGCAATAGCCTACAGCTCAACCTGGCAAAGACTGAGCTTCTCGTCTTCTTTGCCACTCCAACTCTACAGCATGATTTCACCATCCAGCTAGGTTCATCAACAATTACCCCATCAAATTCGGTAAGAAATCTTGGTGTACTCTTTGATGACCAGCTGACTTTCAAAGACCACATTGCAAAAACTGCTCGATCATGCAGGTTTGCATTGCACAACATCAGAAAGATGAGGCCCTTCCTAATGGAGCATGCTGCACAACTTCTTGTCCAGGCCCTTGTCATTTCTAGGCTGGACTACTGCGATGCTGTTCTGTCTGGACTTCCATCATGTGCAAACAAACCTCTACAAATGTGACTCGTGCTGGCAAAATGAGTTGGAATGCGCACAGGCTAATTTTGAGCTACAGGCAAAAAAGTGAAAACTTTTGAGGTTTTCACAAAAATTGGTTCATTAAGCCTTCGTCTAGCGATCCCAATGCTCCAAATAATAATTTTAGATGTTTAATTACCTCTATTTGTACATTTTCTGAGAGGAGTACCATTTCTCCGCTCGTTTCTTGAGCTGATCTGTCATGTTTTTTTTTTGTTTTTTTTTGCATCTGTTCTTATTTATAATAATAAAGCTACAATAAAAAATGGCTATATTGTGATTATTAATATAGTAATTATCATTAACTCGATTTTTTCAAAATTTACTTTGCTGACTCTATCGACTACAAACAGGTGTAGCTCAGTCATTTTTTTGTCCGATTCCAACAAATCATATATCATTTTGAAGGTCTTTTAATGGAGAATGTGAAAATGAAAATAACTCATGCCAGCACTGGTCACAAATGATTCGGAATGCAGCAGCAAGACTGGTCTCAACGAACCCAAACATTTTCTGAGAGGAGTACCATTTCTCCGCTCGTTTCTTGAGCTGATCTGTCATGTTTTTTTTGTTTTTTTTTGCATCTGTTCTTATTTATAATAATAAAGCTACAATAAAAAATGGCTATATTGTGATTATTAATATAGTAATTATCATTAACTCGATTTTTTCAAAATTTACTTTGCTGACTCTATCGACTACAAACAGGTGTAGCTCAGTCATTTTTTTGTCCGATTCCAACAAATCATATATCATTTTGAAGGTCTTTTAATGGAGAATGTGAAAATGAAAATAACTCATGCCAGCACTGGTCACAAATGATTCGGAATGCAGCAGCAAGACTGGTCTCAACGAACCCAAAAGGGCCCATGTCACACCTCTCTTTATCTGCCTGCACTGGCTACCGGTTGTGGCTCACATCAAGTTCAAGAGATTGATGCTTGCATATAGAACAGCCACGGGCTGAGCACCCTCCTATTTCCACTTACACTTACGAATCTACATCCCCTCCAGAAGCCTGAGATCTACAAGTGAGTGACGCCTCATGGTACCATCAGGCACAAAACCACTTTCCAGAATATTTGGTGGAATGATTTTCCCTCCCCCATCCGGAATGCTAAATCCCTGACAATTTTCTAGCGACAGCTGAAAACTCGTCTCTTTCGTCAACACTTGACTGCATCCTAATAGCCTTACTTTTAAAGTAACTTTGCTTCTCTTTCCTTAAACCCTCCCTGTCTAGTTTGTACTAATCTGAACAATATCTTCCCGTGTTTATTTGCCTTTTTTATGATGAATCGCTTTATTGTATTCCTCAGTTGTAAGTCACTTTGGATAAAAGCGTCTGCTAAATGAATAAATGTAAGTATCGCTTTTAATTTATCTTCTTTCCTACTACTTGTTTCACTTCTGTTTCAGTTTTTTATAACCATTTCTTACTATGTGTCAGTAAGTTGTTGTTATTTTAGCATGTGTGTTTGGCTCAGTGTTATTTTTTTAGGATTACTGATAAACTAATGTAGTTTGATTTGTATTAGTTATCTAAACTAAATGGAAATGAAATAATATATATATTGAATTTATAAATGTGTATGTATATAAATATATATGTGTTTGTGGCTGTACATACACATATGTAGTTGTTGTTGTCTTTTGGTGTTTGGCTTAGTGTTATGTTAGAATCATTATTATACTCTTATACCTTTTGTTCTTTAATATTTTGAATTGCTCTCGGATTCTATCTAAAATATCTTATTTTTATTCTGAAGATGAATGAAGGTCTTAGGGATTTGGAATGACATGAGGGTAAGTATTATTATTATTATTAAGTATTATTTGTAAGTCGCTTTGGATAAAAGCGTCTGCTAAATGACTAAAAGTAAAGTAAGTAAAGTAAATGTCATTTGCCCGGGGACTGATTCAATGACTCGTTCATAATATACAAAACAGCCACTTGAGTAGAAAGTCTCCGAATGAATCGTTTTGTAAAATGATTCAAACGAATCAAATCACTTGTTGAGTCAATTGAATCAGAATCCTAACCACTATTAAATGCGCCTTTCAGTTGGTTTGCCAACCGCCAATAAATTTTAAAGAAGAAGAAGAAGAAGAAGATCCTAACCACTAGCTTGTTCGCAGTGTGGATGGGGTGTTGGCATTATTTCCTGTGGGCGGAGGAAGGGAGAGGCTTGCCACTGCAAAGAAGTGCAAACCCGTCTCACATTCACAGTCCACCGACCACAGATACAAACGCATTAACCATCCGGACCGAGGGCACGCCGAGACGTGGAAGGGCGAGGTGGACTCCCTTCCCACATTTAGCCATTTATATGCCCTGTTGTTGGTTGTAAGCTAGGGAATCGCGTGTTTTTAGTACTTTACAACCAGCTGTTGATTCAAAGTAACGTTAGCCACAAAACAAAGACTCCAGACACGGACGAGCAACTGGACTGCTGGTCCAAACGCTGCCGGAGGTTTATTTCCATAGCAAATGTGGTTTTAAAAGAGCGCCTGATAGTTTGCTAAATCGCCGTTGACACGGGTTAAGGTAAGGAACGTAAAAATTATCACTTTTTAAGAAACGTTAGTACCAGAACCGTTTGTCGAATGCATTATTTCTAAGAGTAAGCCAGGGATTTTGAGCTTTATGGTTTGATCTGGAGAGTGATCCTGGGTTAAGAACTTCGGGTGGGGATGTCCCATCCATTGCACTTCAAAGGACAGACGTGGATCGGCCCCAAAC